AGCTACCCCCATCGTCATTCCCAGACCCGCCAAAGAGAAAGTAGCTTCCTAATATTTCCCCTCTTCGCCCCCACATCGATAGATCGCGTCGTTGGCAGCCTGTTTTACTTCTCCCGACGCGTGCCCAACCCTCCCCCACCCTTCAAGTTGACGCCGCTGACAGCTACAATGCATCGATGACTGGGGTTAGGCAGGGGTAGTGCGGTGAGCTAAGCCTAATAGTGGCTAGGAGAGATGAGCTAAGTGCACAAATGGTGAGGTTTGAAATATTTGAAATATTTGAATAAATATTTCAAACCACAAATCGAGCATCGCGGGCTATCAAATATCTCAAATATGACCCCGGATTTGATTTGTTTGATTTGTGGGCAGCGCTGACTAACCTTCTATAGCAATGAGAGTACAAGCCGGCCTGTATCAGCTGATTTGCTCATTTTGATTGGTCTGGCCTCCCTGTCGTGACGGCATTGCAGTCTTGTGCCACTTAAAGAGATATCCAGAGTAGCCATTGACCAGTCTTGCATGTGGTTATATCCACTGTGCCAAGAGCCTGTATTTCTCGAGTTCTACAATATACTCTTGTGATAAGTGGTCATGAGGGCTCAGCGAAGATCAGTGTTAATAAAGGTATAGTCTAGGAAGATAGCTCTTATTGGTGCAAATCCCTGTCAGCGAACGCGAGGGAGGCTTAACACAGTTCTGGGGATACTGTATCAGTAACTGAATCAACGGGAGCTTTGTCGTATGATCCAAAATGAAAATCTCACTTGGCGGAAAGGGGTTCTCGCCATTGGCTGGACAGACGAATCCTTTCCTTCTTGGCTATCTCTTCAGGCGGCATAAAGCTCCGGCGGGGTCACGACAGGGGTGTAGGACCTATCAAAATGAGCGCTACTTGAAGTACATTCTCACACACCTAAATTTGCGTGTGATAGAAGTACCAGCAGTCAGCCGTGTTACAAATAGCTACATCACATACTTTGCAGCCGTACACGGTCTGCACCCTTCGTTCATTTCCTGATATCGGCTGTAGATAACCTCCTTTTTCCTTCTTCCTTTTAAAGGGTCGGGCCTGACCCTGCCGGAAGCCTTTGCAAGCTAGGCAGCTTGAATGTATGCCCCGATGGACATGATTGATATCTCTTTGTAGGTGAATTTGCCGTGCTTCTGTATCCTCGATGTCTTCTTCCATTCCTTTACGGCCTCTCTTCCTTATGTGACTTTCAGTTGCGTATCTGTTGAAAATGGCATTATAAATGCACTCCTTCCAAGCTTTAAGCGTGCTATAGGGCTTCCAACGAGGCTGCCGTGTTTTCTTCTGTAAAATGAAGCTATTCGCAAGTGCGACTTCAAGGAGGAAAGACCAAAGCAACGCTTGCCAAGGACCGCGCCGGAATCGGTGCTGATATGTTGTATAAGACCGTATCTGATCGCCGCGGTCAACGTGATTCATTTCATCGTTATACTGAGCGGCAACAGTAGGAATAGGGATTATCTTGAAGCTATCACCATTGAAGACCTGCTGCAGGCGCTGTGACTCTGCCTTTGTGCCTCTTTTGGCGGGCTTTTTCCTCTTTTTTGGTGTGCGCTCGTGAGGGGCTCCGCTAAGCACAGTTGAAAGGAAGAGCACGATGCTGCTATCTTTCCAAGCGATTTGGATGACCTAGGGAGAAAGGAAAAGGACAAATTAGTAAGGGAAATACAGGTAAAGCTATCCATACCTGTTTATCTTGTGTCGGGATCAAATATACCTCATTATATTGCAAAGCTATGCCGTCAGGAGCTTTTCCGGTCTCTTTTATATGCTTCATCTCGGTGGTGATGCCGCAGTTAGGGCGTGCCGTGCCTGTGGCACCGTGGCCAAGCTGCCGAAGAAGGCGGAAGAGCTGCGGCGACGAGAAGAGGTTATCCGTGAAGACGTGATGTGTCTGCGTTGATAGCCTTTTTAGTAGGTGAACCACGACGCTTTGTGTATTGTTGAGAGGAATCTCGGTCCGTAGCTTTCCCTTCTTGCCGTACGGCGTTGGTGTAGGTAGCTCGACTATAACAGCCTTGTATGGTGATGCCTTCACGTGCCAAAGCCACTGCAGAAAGAAGCCCTGTTGGGCGATAACCCAGACTTTAAACCCCACGGGCGTGGGTTTATTCTTGACGACTGTTGTCTCTTTTGATCTGCCTGTAAAAGGGATCATACACTCATCTACAGTGAGGTTAGTCCCTGGAGAATAGAGCTCGATAGACACGCTTTGTATGTGATTAGACCACTCTTCAGCCGCTTGGAAGGTCTTTGGAAGGTCGCTCTCATCCCTCACATCGAGCTTGGTGTAGTCAAAAGTGCGGAAATACCTCGTGATCAGCTCGAACTTCCGTAACGGCATGAACTTGATGATTGAGTGAAGAGGGCGCTGATCTCCTAGGCTAGGGGACTTCCAATGGTCTTTGATCGATATTTCCCTATGAATTCCTAGGTAAATAAGGACCCCAAGCCATACATAAGCTGTTGCGGTGGAGATGCCTTCCCACTTGAGAATGCGGGACTGTTTGGAAAGGGGGGTATTCCAGTTGTCAATAATGCCATTTTCAAGTAAGTGAGTGACCCAGCTATTGGTGTATTTAATCCATGACTGTACAAGGGAAATAGGTACGAAAAGCTGGAATAATTCAAGTGGTTCCTTGGGTAGAGGGTTGATCTTGAAATCACGATATTCTAGGTTGAAAGGTTGAAAATCATCACCGCAGCCCTCTTCGGGCGGAAAATTAGGCACGCCGGTGGGGTCATCAGCCGCCCTCAAAGGCGGGGTATCAAAGCTGTGATCATCTATATAATCAGGTATCTCTTGGGAGCTCATCGTTTTAATTAAGACGCGTTAGGGTCAATTTGTATGAGGATTTTGATGATTTTGGCTGTGTTGAATGAAGAAGCTGTCTGACGAGAACTTCACGTACACCGCAGGTACTAGTGTTGTTAGTAAGCAATGTGGGGCGAGTGACCTGCCGGAGCCTTATGCCGCTCAAAGAGATAATCTGAGTAAATTGAGTAGTGCCTGTGGATCCCACTAGTAAAATTCCACTATGCCTATTTGACCAATCAAACTTGATAGCTTATATCCGCCCTTTATTCCCTTGTTGACCAATTATAAGTGCAGAATATCGCTAGCGAGATCCACAGGCGCTACTCAATTTACTCAGATTATACGGTAATACATTCGTCACGGACTTGAGGGAGTAAGCTCAGGTGTTAGAAATGCTTTAGTTAAGCCGCAGCCGTCAAGTCTCAGACATAGTCTAAGGACTCTAATTACTTTGAAGGGGAACCCCCAACCCCACCTGTAATCTTCCTTCATTATATCATTCACTTGTCTGCTTCCCGTGCTATAAGTTCTCTCCCGATGCCCCGCCTTTTTGCCGTTTATATGATTATCATCACTCCTCGATTACGCTAGCTTCATTACCGTTAAGGAGGTTGCGTATTTCTTCTTTATGCATCAACTATCGCCAAGTCAACCCGGCCTTTCGAACATGCGTCCGTACCACAATGAAGATGAACCAATCACATGCACGAAACCTCAATATCACATGTTATGGGTACGCTCTATCTTGTGAACCTAGTTCTTTCTTGCCTCTTCCCCGCCGGACCTTTCCCCCGGACCGGGAGGCCCTTCGGCCGTTAAACTTAAATCTCTCCACTTCAGACGCCTAGCTTTATTTAGATTCACTTGGGCAGCGTTAAGGCGTACCTATCGCCATAATAGCTAAAGAGTACTTCAATCTCGCAAATTGCGCTCTTGACCAGGTATCTTATTAAGTCTCTTTTTATCATTGGCTTCTTATTGGCCAAGGTACGCCCACTAGCCTTAGCACTGTCCAAGGGATAGGAGCACAGTACGGCGAGAAATGGATACTTGAATGCGGCTGCTGGCCAGTGATATGGCCAGGGTCAACTGTTCGGAATACGTTTGTCCGGGGCACTGGAAAGACTGATGACATCGTCGATTGTAGTGGAGTCGCAGATGGCTTAAACCATACTTTACACCTTACCGTCTTCGTCCTCGCCTGCATGCTGGCAGGCTTTCCCGGGGTGCCCGTGCGGGGGCCTTGTGTTGCTTGCAGAAGCTCTTAACATCATAGGAATCAACTTCTTGTTTTTGGTCGGGATCTGGAGGTGTATTCATTGATCAATTGCAATGATTTGTATAGTAGCTTGGTTGTGACAGGTTGGTAATTGAAGCTATCGGTACCCCGCTCGTACTGCTGTGATGACAGGGATAGGGTGGGGCGGGGTACGGATTGAAGCGCTTCTTGTGAGCCTTCTTGGCCCCGCGTACGGTCCAGTTCTTGACGCTGCATCGCGGCGACACGTTTGAGTGCAAATACGGTGAAAGCTGTCGCACTGGGAATCAAGAACGGGACGATTGCGCCCGTAGCAGAGAATTTCCGGCGCGACGACACTTTCGCTGGAATGAGTAAAAGGCGGGCTTTGCCGTCCGTATCAACATACCTTGACTAACTACCTTCCCGTCGTTGGCTGCTGTCTAGCACTACTGTCCCTACTTTAGATAATGATTATATCCCGGAAATATATATTCTAGCCACCTCTAGAGCGACCCTCGTGCGGCAGCGCTGCCCGCAAATCAAATGCAATCAAACAAATTGCCAAACAAATCAATCAAATATCTCGAAATCTTATTTCAAACAAACAAGTCCAAAATCCTGGATTTGAAATAACATTTGATATATTTGATATAGGATATGATGCCTGGGAACATAGTTGGCCAGGCTCATGGGCGTCATTCTTCACAACCTACCCGGTACTTAGAATGTGCCAAGGATCTGGCACTTAGACCAGGCCAATCAGAACCATCATACAAGCTCACACATCAGTGCGCTAACCCCCTGTAAGCCCCACAACACCAAGCATCGCGTCATTGTTGATGTTTATTTGTCACAGCGCGTAGTCGTCCTCAATCAATAATGCTTAATCCAATGGAGACAGACGGCCAACTAACCCCTTCTCGACCGGCCTGGTTTTGCTCGCCCTTAGCCGTCAAGCGCGATTAGGAGAGGTGAAGAACCAGAACGATCATTGTCTATAAAACTAGGGTAGTCCATTCTGGGAATGGCAACTAAATGAATGTACCAGGAAACCTATCATGGTTAAGAGGCTTTTTTTGACCGTTTTCCAGTTGCGGTCTATGAAATTGCCGATAAGCACAGCCTGCACTTGAGATCGTGCATGGTGCCTAGGAGATGATCTTTTGGTGAAGGTTGGATGTATTCCGGCTGGTGGGGGTTTGGCTTGGTCTTTGGTGGCAAGTAGCGATTGGCTGAAGAGATGAGGTTCGCGTACTCGAGGTCTAGGGTCGCAACAAATAGCCCCGCTGGGAGGCCGGGAATAACATCGGAGAACCACGGCGCTGAGATTTGGAACATTTGAAATGTTTGATCAAATATCTCAAACAACAAATCCAGTGCCAAAAAGTGTCAAATAAATCAAATATGACCACGGATTTGATTTGTTTGATTTGAGGGCAGCGCTGTCGTGCAGCTACCTCAGAGGTGATCCAGTGGGGACGGCCCGTGCCAGTTCGCCAGCCAGGCGTCGCATTACACACACTACATCCGTACCAAGTCAACCTTACACTCCGACGTCTCGGGCTCCTCACGTCCCTGTTACCGCTGGCCTCCTCCAAAGGCCTCCCTTTGACGGCTTTGACCTAGGCTGCCTCTGGTCGTTGAGCCAAGATCCCACTCAGCTTTTTATCTCATAAGCTATCATAAAGCCTCTGTTAGGTAACCTTCTCCATTGTTATAGCCTTAATAGATAGCGACAGGTTAACAGTGAGGTTGAGTTTCATGCAAGGAAATTTTGCCCTAAAATACCCTCTTGATTGCGTCTTGTTGACCTTTCTCATCGCCGACCATCCGCCTTCCTTAAGTGCAGAGTAAAGCCTCGTCGCCACATTGGTTATAATGACATAGATATGCGATAGTCTTAACCTCAATGATATAGGGTTCAGTGTGGCTAAGTATATCCCCCGCTCTAAATGGTAAGCTGCATAAGGCCGATTCGAGAATTTTCCTGTACTACCACTCCATTCCTTCGATTCTATGAATGGCTATAACGGCCCTGCGACGGAAAGCTTCGATCGCAGCGCCACACATTCGGTTTCGTTCGGGCAGCTGAAGACTTGGGACAGCTATGATGATAGCTGTGATAAGAATTGTGATAAAACTGCGCATTGACCGGTTGACCTTTTTCTTCACTCCGTATCGCATGTGATTGTGCACGAATTGAGAAAATAACACGTCAAGTGGCATTGCGGTTTCTCCAGATGACGGCAGCTGTGGCAAGGATTGTGACAAAGCTGCACACTGGTCGGTTCCCCTCTATCCTCAGTACCAATGAATTGAGAAAACATTCTAGCACGATCCGTGGCGGCAGCCAACTGGGGATGATTGGATCCTGGCAACTTTCATTCACGAACCTTCCCTTGCTTTCTAAGTTTCTTGGCAATGTATTCTCCTGTCGCCCGTCGCCTTATTGCCGAGGTACGTACGCCCACCAACCTGGCTCAAGGAGCCTCAGATGATCTTGCTTCGAGGCTGCACAACGAATGAGCACCGTCTGCGTCCCCTAATGCGGCTGCCACGACCTCAATCTCTCCCAAAAAATGCCTTCCCGTCTCAATCAGTGGTGAGGTCATATATAAAGGAATCTTCCACGGGATCTGACTGAGTCCTCTCTACCTGTAGTGATGCGCCGTGATAGTACGGCTTCTTTCTTGAGGACTCTAATTTAACGCTTGTTTTCACCACAGCGGACCCGTGGAAAGATGTGCAATTACATCTATGTGAGAACTGCTCCGATTGTCGCGTTCCTTACTGACACCTGCCTCACACAGAAAGAGCTGAGCTGCCAGCACTATTATCACCTAGTGCAATCGTGGTGCCCCAAATATATGAAGACGGAGCGAAGGTGCCTACCGACGATTGTTAGCAGGCAGTATTGGTAGGCGTACTTTGTATCCTGGCTATTTGAGCTAACTGACTGCCCTCCAGGGGTAACGACATCTGTGGTGAGTTCTCACGCAACTGTATCACGAAAAAGTCGGGTATTGATAAACATCATGGCCAGGTGCCTGCCGCGAACGGCAGCAACCCAGCAAACGCACCACCGGGGACGGGAGATTGAAGGGAGCAACGACTTGAAAAAATAGAAAGCAACGAGAGGAGAAGAGCAAGCCTGGTTTCGGGCACAGAGAGCTCTAGAACCTGTCGCAGTGTTGAGTTTGCTGATCAACAAATAACATCTAATGGCACTAGTCCTCCCCGGTATTAACGGACTAAGAAAAGTGGGGTTATTCAGATTTCCAAATCGATCCAAATCGATCCAAATTAATGCAAATCGCCAATCTTCATATCCAAATCAAGTCAAATTAGACCGCCGATCTGATTTGATTTATTTGTTTGCAAGCCTGATTGCAGATGCCTGGATCCGTGGGAGTTACAAATACCCGTTGAAGATCTATGGTTTTGTCAAGCAGAGCACAGATAAGGTAACATCCGAGCGTACCTATGAAACGGATCTCTACACGAGTAATAGAGAGTGTCAACTTGGAGGTAAGCAGGATATGTCCTTCCACCGAGTCGCCTGGCGGAGAGGCCCGGATTCCGTCCGACATACACGTGACACAGTGCAACGCGAAAAGAGACTGCTAACGCAGCAGACTTTGCGGTGTATTTGTAATACACTGTGATAATGCCTCTCAATCTATACAGTTCCTCAAACCCGTGGAAAAATGTCTTCCCGAATCGTGATGAAACGAAGTAGAGAAGAGGAAAAGTGAGATAAAAGTCAACGTTATTAGATAATTTAGTGACAAGGGTTAGTGAAATAATGATGCGCTTGTGATGAAAGATGCACGCAAAGAAGTGAAGTTGAAGAGTCCGGTCGGTACAGCAAAAAGGACGAAAGAAGTGTGTGGCTATAAAAGGTCGGCCGTGTGGCCGGGTCGTGCGCGCCTGGGTTGGTTGAGCAGCCCAGAACGGTGTTATGAAGATCCGGTAGAGGCAGGTAGATTGATTCGACGGCCGAATATATGAGATGAGGGGGCGATGCTATTGGCAGATGACTGACCGGGTCAAGGTCAGCTCACAAGAACCCAATATGGTTGAGATTAATGAGGTACATGCGAAAACGAGATCGGGTTATGTTGGAGTTGCGGGACTGGCATGTGCATATGCATGTGCGCACACGCCCCATCACGAAGGCCTGACTAGACCCAGGCAAACCTTGCCCATTGCCTGTTCAACCAAGGACGAGAGGTTGCTGCACCCTGGAACTGGTCAAAGCCAAGAGTCATGTTGTTGTAAGAGGCGGAGACTGAAGCCGATGATTTCCAGAGGTCGAGCCGACGAGAGAATTTTGTCGTTCGACCGCCGCTAGAGTTATCCATCTGTTTAGCCTTGCCTGGGCAGTGGAGGCAGAGGGCAGCTTGGAGGCGGGCCGGGGCAAGGAGGGAGTTGCGAAGGTCGCTGAGCAGGCATGTTGACTGTGGTGTGGTGTAGCTTGAGTAGCTTCGAATAGTTGTGAAGAGAGCCGAGTACGATTGACTCAGCTCGTGAGGTTTGGTAGTGTTGAGTAAGATCGAGCAGTAGTGATAGTAGTTGTATGAGAGATTTGATTAACGCCAGACGTATTGCAAGGAAGCACAAGCTGGAAAGTGGAAATGGTGAGTGCCTGAATAGGTTCTTGATGAGACGATGGTGAGATTGATCAATGACTTCTTCGTGGGGAAGAAGGAGGTCGCTGTGCCTCTTGTATTCCTGGCCGGTCTGGTGTTTGTGCTGCCAAGTGAAAGGTAATCTGAGTGAAGCAGCCCAGGGCGCAAGATACAGGGCACCATTGGGACTGGGAGAAGGGAAGTGCGGGAGTTCCTCTACACACAGGACACGATGAGCGCCCCGCCAGACGCCAGTGGAGGTGTTTGGCAAGACAACGTCGGTACTTTGGCCTCATACCTCCGGTGCACCATCCCAGCCCAGCCTGAAGGGTTGACTTTTACTCTGACCTGGAAGTGACAGTGACGCAGTGGGCCACAACCGCATCAAAAAGGGGAATTGAAACAAGGGTCAACAAGCATGGGGTTCCCCTGGAAAACGGATTTCCTTTCATATCAGTTTACCCCTGTCGCATACCTCGTCATAGTCCTAGCGACAAGGCTGGTCCTGGCTGTGCAGCAACCTCTGCAATCGCTCTATCGCTACGCTACATTGCAACAACCCAGCAAGAAGCCTCCCAGGATACAGAGGACACCATGATGAATCGGCATCCAGTCGATACGGGAAGCTCCGGGCAGACACCGTGGTATTCACACGACCAGTCACCTGAGAGGTTAATATCACCGGTTGGACTGAGAACATGCCCTAACGATAACTACAGATTGCCATGTTCAACGCACAGACTTGGAAGCATGTTGTTTCACATGAATCGATGCCGGGCTCAGTGTCAAGCGCTCATTCACATCGTCGCGCTTAGATCGTAACCGGACACAGCTAGGCACTATGTAATCAGGGCCAATCTCAATATCAGCCCGAGATTTAATAGTCACTATTTCTTATCAAGTTCTCTGTCCTGACCGGCACTTGACAAGGCTTCGAACCTGGAGCCCAAGAAGCTATCGGCATTGGTAGAACGGTGCTAATTGACTGATGATGTCATGCTCTCGTTGCTTTGGTGACTTCCAATGAGCTACTAGCTCTCTGAAACATAGCGTAAACTTTCATTTTCTCGCGCTTTGGCCTCCACCTGCTCCCTCTAATAGGTCAAAGCGGTCCAGCCTCTGTGGCGCTATGAGTCCCCCCCCCTCTTCAGCTTTTGTGTAATATTTGGCGTAACGCTGCCGGCAATGGTTTTAAAGGAGATCCCACAACTTTAATTGCAACCTTTCGGCCGTTACTTGGGTTGCCAAGCTGATTTGTCTTCGCCATCTGCGTCCAGGAGAGCAAGGCTGTAGCTCGTGCCTATAATAGCCGCCCTCCCTATGAGGCTGCCATGATCGGAAATTGTTGAGTTAAATACGAGCTACGGGGGTGCAGGAAGGCTTTTAGCATTCATTTAAGAGCTTTGGTGTTAGTGTTATCGACTTTGTTCATTGAGGACACGATGCTTTCACTCGCGACAAACAATGGACCCTGGCCACGTGTAACCGATACTTTGAGTCCAGTAATGTGGTGCAGGTAGAGAATAGCCTCAAATAGTACTCCCGAGCAGGGATAAGGCAAAGCGTTAAGCCTGATATAAGAGATGAAACTGAAATTCTAAGACTTTCAATCTCATTACCAATCCTAAGCAACCATTTACTGCTTTCGGTGCAGGCCACCAGTGTCATCGGTGCTGTGAATGGCGTTAGAGACCGCACGCTCAACGCTCACAGGAAGCTTCTCCTGTAGCTTCGTGGGCACGACGGGCGCCTTGCCTCCGCCCTTGGTGTGAGTTCTGTTGCAGACTTGCGCATTAAACATAAACATAGAACGAGCGATGTGAAGTTGGAACTCTGAAGAATTCAAGCCAACCGCTGTCTTCAGGTGATCCCGGCGTACTGGTATACCTCTATTTCTTAAGTAAACACCGATACTCTCTCCAGGATAGTGACGGGAGCAACGTCCGTTGGCACAGCGTCATTTTCAAGATAGGATTTGATGCTTAGGATATTGACAAACTGGCGGAAGAGGTGGTTAGTGTTGAAATGAGAAGATGCTTGTTGCTTCATTCATCCTAAAAGTGCAGCAGGGGAACCATTGTTTATGTACAGGCACGATCTCTTGTAGAATGTTCCTCCTTCTTCCACACCTTGCCACCGCCTTGGTCGCCTCACACTTGTGATCTCCAACAAATACTGATACAGCTGAGCTGATTGGGGATGGCTCCAGCTGGAGAATTGCGAAACGAGCACGGGCACATCGTGTAAGACATCGGCGCGCTCCATAATGGTTGTCGAGATTTTTAGGATTTTTGCTTTGAAGTTTCCGGCTGGTGAAATCAGGCGGTAACTTTCTCGAGATCTAGGCACTGACGGAGTCTCCCCTGGGCTTGTGCAGAACGAACATCCTTGATATAACTGCTACACAAGCAGAGACTCCCAGTGCGGAGCGTTTCAGTGCGAACCATTGCAATCGTATGAATGCTTTTTCACGCAAATGTCTCCACGGTAAGGGTTATCCATTGTAGCTGCTTGCATATAGGAGCCATCCATCCCACGCTAGACTCTAGAATCTGTCCAGTAGACGACTTGTCAGCATTTTAGCGCCCTGCAACGTAGCAAGCAATCATTAACGTGGTCAGTTCTGACTTGCGGAAACTAGAGCAGGTTGTCTCGCTTCGATAGTTGAGATGAAGCTATCATGTGTTCGAGGGTATATTGATTGTCCAGGGTTGATCCGTGTTGGCTCCAGACGTTTCTGGACTACACGACGAAACGACTGGAGACGACAAGATCCCTTAGGCCGCCCGCATTAGCGGGGTGAATCTTGAATTTCTCCCGAATCGGGAACGCAGGGTCTTGTTGCAATGCAAACCTTGAGCTTCTTGTGACCCTCTTCGTGTGTGATTGGGGCTGATCATCCGCCAGGCAGAACCAGCATGCCTCAGGCACTCATAGAGCGGGGAATAGGTGCAGTCCCTATTGACCCGACTATTCATCCGTATTGGCCAAGCACCCACAGTTTTCCTCTAAATTACTGCTCTTGATGTGTTTGTCGATATCTGATGGTGGCCGAAAATCTACCTCGCTAAACCTCAGCGGGACGCAGATGACCACCATCTCGCACTGTTTAAGCCAAATGCGGAAGCGCTCGGATGCTGCGTGATGCCACGCTGTCATCAAGCCCCAGCTCGTTGACGCGAATCGTCCGAGGGACGCCATAGGGCCGGGCGCTGAGATTTGGGTCCCGTACCATTTCGTCGGGTCTGGCGGGTAAGGCAAGGGAGGGGAAGATGAAAATAAGGAAGGAAAATTACTGCGCAGTTCAGAATTATGAAATACTTGAGCTGGTTGGACGACTTCGTTGAGATTTTTCTCCTCCTCCTCCTCCCCCCCCCTTTTTTTCCCCTTCTTTCTTTCCTTTTTTTTTTTCTTTTCGTAGTCCCTGCCCTCCTGCCACTGGCTCCGGCTGCTTTCCTAGGACCCAACTTTGTTTGGCTACCCGTTCCCGTAAGTCCAAGGCGGCCCGCTAACCACTTGCACTGACGGGCACTTCCGCACCCCGCACCCACAGCAAATGACGATCAGTGATCGTCATTTAGTCATACCCCAGCCAAACGACGCCAGCCAAAATACGACAGTTGCGTCTGCTGGAACGCCCGCGTGCGAGCACAGACACACACAGATAGAAAGAGAGAGCGAGAGAGGCAATTTCCCTGAAGAAGTCTGTGCCCGTTTCCTTGCAAATCGCTGTTTGAGGGTAAATGAGGGGAGGCCTAGGCCCCCGCAGTGGCGGCCAATCCCAATGTCAGCCACTTCGCCATCACCTGCAGGGTTGCCCTCCAAAGGCGACACCCATCTGTGCGGCAGGGCCTGGACCAGACTCATGGGACTGACAACCTGGAAAGAATGACGGAGCTTAGCGAGACTTCAACACCGACGCCGGCATGTGAGCATTTGCGTGTTTCTTGCTGTTTTTGTGGTTTCATACCAGAATGCAAATGAGGCTTTCGCCGTTGTCTTATCTTTCCTTGACCGACTCTTCCTTGTCTTCTTGGGGTGCCCCTTCACAAGAATTGTGCCGGAAAAAGCCAATTCTCCTTCCACTCGGTCCATAGAGGCCGACGTTTACGGTACAAAAGCCACCTTTCAAAGTGCTGACCAGGCTACCAAGCCACAGAAAAACACCAGCCAACCATAAGAGCTCGTTTTAGCCAAGGTACATGAATACCTAGGGCCGGCTTCCTTTGCTTTTGAAGCCCCTATACCGCCTCAATTACGGCCGCGATATAGCGGACCCTCTGTCGCTAGCAAATCCTTGGGGCTCTATTAACCCTCTAACAGTTTGGTAGGTAAGATGCTAATAGATTGAGAGTCGGCTTACTACGTAGTGTGACAAGTTTGAAAGGTGCCCATTCCTAGTCTCACACTAATATCGGGGCAGGATGAATTAATTTCCTTGCAGCCACTTAAGGCAGCGCAAACGACAACTTGCATCTTCAACTGGCTCTTTTGTTGTCGCATCATTTGTCTCCGTTTCGCCTCTGTCAAGATGACTCCCTACAGGCGGACAAGGTCGAGCGGAGACTTGCGATCAGCGGCGGACATGAAAAACCGACAGGACGTCCCCGGGAGCCGCGACGCCGGCCATGAGAATCGTCGTGACTTCGAGTTCACCTTCAACTGCTCGATGACGAGCGCGGGCGGTAGAATAGGCAGTATCATCGAGCCGAATGTAGGCGTACCCTATCGCTGGCGACCTTGTGGGGAGCTGCTTGCTAATTCGACGGCTTGGTTTCTGCGACTTCAGCCTGAGACAATGTCAGCGTCTTCCACTAAAGACCCACCATCGGCATCATCGGCATCGTCGAATGCTAACTCATGCGGCAGCGAGAATGACTCTACCTCCCTATCGGACAGCGTGCAGGCCTTTCCCGAGAAGTTTGGCCGCACGTACCACGCCTATCGTGCCGGTTGTAAGCTGACCCTGGGCTGCATCCCCAACTTTCAAGCTGACTGCCGGCATGCAGCATACGCTTTTCCTAACGACACCCCCGAGCAGGAGCGTCTGGAACTCCAGGGCGAGTGCATCAAGAGACTCTTGGACGACAGGCTTTACCTTGCTCCGCTCTCGACCACGAGGCCTCCGCGCGCCATTCTCGACGTGGCCACGGGTGTAGGCGATTGGGCTATCCAGATGGGCGATTTGTTCCCTACGTCCCTGGTTATTGGAACCGATCTATCCCCCATCCAACCAGCGGAGGTGCCCCCCAACGTTCACTTTTACGTCGAAGATTCGTAAGTGTCTGTCCAAGCACTTGCTGACATGGTTGAAGTAAGTGGGCTTTAGATCTGACCGTCTTCGCCCATCATATCTAGGACCGACCCATGGGACTTCCCGCAGCAATTTGACTATATCCATACACGAGCTACCTCCGGCTGCTGGGCCGCATTTGAGACTCAGATCGCCGAGCAAGCTTTCGCCGCGCTCGAACCTGGCGGCTGGTTCGAGTCGCAAGAAGTCGACGGCAAGGTTTGCTGCGACGATGGCACCCTCGATCCTAACGGGCCCCTAGCCGCATGGTCCAATGATCTTATTGTGGCGTCAGAAAAGCTTGGTCGTCCCGCCATCCTGGCGGCCACCCTTAAGGAGGTATTCGAGAGGGTCGGCTTCGTTGATGTGCAACAGCGTATTTTCAAAATGCCCATTAACGGGTGGGCAAGGGACAGCCGGCTTAGGGAAATAGGGTATTTGTGGGGGGCAAACGTCTTGGAGGGGCTAGCCGGCTTCTCTTACCAGCTCTTCAATAAGGCGTTTGAGCGAACGAGCGCTCAGATCGAGGTAAGTAGAGCTCGAGACACCACTACATTCATGATTTTACCACGCTAGGTAATCGAAAAGTCCACTCACTAGTTCATTTATAGGTATCTCTCATCAATGTTCGCCAGGATATCAACAACCCTCGAATACACTGCTACATGCCTGCCTTTGTTGTTTGGGGTAGGAAGCCATATCCTGACGAAATGTAAGGCGCTCAGAGCGCAGGGCCACTCCATTGGTGTATGTGTATAGTAGAATTCCTGTTTGAAGATACAAGGGAAGTGAAACGGTCGCCACGGGGAGCGTATGATATAGGATCTGCGGCTATGTGAGCTGGCAGTGTCAGCCGAGAACGACCCTGAGCGATGTCGGGGATGAGGCTCCAGACATCAGGTCGTTGGTTGACCCCGTCATGGCTTTCCAAATCTCAGACATACCTTTGGGCAGTTTATCTGCAATAAGGCGGAGCCGCATGATGACGTGTGCCAATCGGAAAGGCCAAGGTCTTGACACATGACGAGTCGTCCTCCTCATTGATTTGTTGGAGTTGACGCTATCAAAGGCCAGATAAGGTGAAAGCTCTCAGCTGGACCCGTTGCATTATTATGTTGAGATGAACTCACAATCTTTTACCCCTGACTTGATCTGAATCAGCCTTCATAATGGCCCCAACAGTATCCATATCTTTCCCTAGCTTCAGTACCATTGCCTTGGCTGTGGCGGGCTACGTCTTGTTCAGCATACTCTATCAGATCGTCTATTACCGCTTCTTCCATCCTCTCGCATATTTCCCCGGCCCTTTTTGGGGAAGCGTGACGCGTCTTTGGATTACCTATCACAACGTCAAAGGAAGGGAAAACGATGTGTGCGAAGCGCTGCACAAGAAATATGGCCCAGTCATGCGCGTCACGCCTACGATGCTCCTCATTAGTGATGCGACTAAATTGCCACTCATATATCATCGCGCCGCCGACAAGTCGCAGCACTACATCACAGGATCCACAGGCTCGACTGAGGCTATATTCAATATGCAGAGCCACAAGATGCATGCGCGATATCGCAAGATTGCCTCGGCGCCCTACAGCCTCACCAATATAAAAAAGATGGAACCTCTGGTGGATGCCCAGCTCCGCTATTGGCTTTCCCGGCTGGAAGACCTCTTCGCTTCCCCAAACACGGCAACGACAATGAAAATGGGGGAGAAGTCTTTCGATTTCTGCCCTTGGGCGGTCTACATGGCCTACGACGTCATGTCAGAGGTCGGTTTTGGCGCCCCCTTTGGCTTCGTCTCTCGAGGCGGCGACGTCGGGGGCCTGATCAAGGGCTTGCGCGACGGGCTGTTGCCATTTGGCATTATGGCACGCATGTACCCTCTGACCAACTTGATCAAGAAAACACGGATTGGCGACAAGTTCTTCGTGGTAAAACCCCAGCATGAGAATGGCTTCGGGGCGTTGATGCGGTTCCGCGACGATCTGATTGAGAAGCGTCTTCGGGATTTGGAAGTGGGAAAGACTGTTAGGTTTGATTTGTTACAGACATTTATCGAAGCTCGCGACGAGAATGGTCAGCCGCTGCCTCTAGAATATATCAAGGCCGAGATCTTAATCGTGCTCCTCGCTGGCGCCGACAGCACAGGCACTGCTTTCCAGGCTCTCGTCAAATATGTCTTAACCAGCCCACCCATATACACCAAAGTCATGGCCGAGCTCGATGCTGCCACCCATGCCAAAAAGCTCTCGAGTCCTATCCCTCGGCAGGAAGAAGTCCTAGCTCACTGCCCGTACTATGTAGCTTGTGTCCGCGAAGCCATGCGCCTCGTTCCGTCCGCTTCCAGCATCTTCCCGCGTCTGGTCTCCAAAGGCGGAATTGAACTCGACGGGAAATATGTCCCTGAGGGTCTCGAAGTCACGGCGAATACATACCTGGTTAATCGCGACACGAACATTTACGGGGATGATGCGGGTGAGTTTAGGCCCGAGAGATGGTTGGAGAGCGAGGAAAAGGCGCGCGAGTATACAAAGTACAGCATGACGTTTGGCTATGGGAGCAGAGTGTGTTTGGGCCAGCACCTAGCTAAAATGGAGATGTACAAGGCGCCGTTGCAGTTTTTCAGAAACTTTAAGGTGACACTGTGTGATACTGAGAGGCCGGCGAGATATCAGGTCAAGGGGGGTGTGGCCTTCTTTGAAGACATGTGGATTAATATTCAGAGGAGGGATCCGGAGGAGCGAGGCCAAGGCCTGGTCAGATTGGACCGAGCGTGACTGGCTAGGGTTAGGGCTATACTAGTGTTTGAGGGTCATGATTAGCTCAGCCACGGGAATAAAGCTATATTCAAGCTTGTTGTACGCCAGTCGCGAACCACGTCGAAATGCAATTGCGGCCCCGAAACTTCTGTCCTTGAGGCATCCACCCATGCCGTAATCCTGACGTCACCTCTCTGAGGCGGCCATGGGGAACAGGCAGTCGCCACTTCAAGCTACATGCCTCGAGCGTCTTATACAGAGGATGGCATTAAAGAAATATTAGATATCACAGATAACGGCCTCTCCCATAACTTAGCCGCCCAGAAGCATGACATCCCTCAGCCGACTCTTTCGGGCTGATTAAGAGGTAAGTCGCCCACCCTAGTTATGGCCCACCCCTGGCTTTGGTCCGCCCCACAAACGCGCTCCGTCCCACGCGTCAGATCAGCGCTACCACCTACGATAAATTGTCAAAAATCGAATTTTTCTCCAATTGACTTACTTTCTTTTGTATTTTCTTCTCCGGGTTCGAAATGCGTGAATATACTGAGCAGGACCTACAAAACGCCATCGTAGACGTCAGGAATGGGGTTGCCGTTAGGACCGCTGCCACACGCCATGGTGTACCAAGAGGGACACTTCGTGCCCGCCTTAATGGTGCCCAACCTCAACGTACGGCACACGACGACCAACAGCGGCTCACGGCCAATCAAGAAGAACATCTTAAGCAATGGATTTTGCGGCAGGAGGCCCTCGGTTACGCGCCAACACACACACAAGTGCGAGCAATCGCTAGCAGCGTGCTTAAACAACAAGGTGACCACAAGCCCCTAGGGAGGAAGTAGTCCAGTCACTTCGTGGAGCGCCATTTGGCCGTCAAGACAAAATTAGGCCGTCGAACTGACTGGAAACGTATAAATGCGGCCACTCCGGATAATATCAGGCACCTGTTCAACCTATACGAGACTGTGAGCTGGATCCCTCCCCGGCGGAGGTACAACGCCGACGAGGGCGGCATTATGGAGGGCCAAGGCATTAACGGGCTTGTTATCGGCTCCTCGCAGGAGAACCCTAACACGGTACCAGTCAAAACGATAAATGCCCGGACTTGGACGTCTATTGTGGAGTGCATCTCGGCGCTCGGGGTCGCTTTGAACCCCCTGGTCATCTTCAAGGCCAAAAGTATCCAAGAACAATGGTTCAAGAAGGATTTCCTAGCTAAGCATCTTGGCTGGCATGTTACCTTTTCGGAAAACGGGTGGACAAGCAATGATATTGCTGTCGAGTGGCTAGGGAAGGTGTTTTTACCCCAAACGCAACCTGAGGATCTAGCCGATGGTCGCCTACTCATCGTCGACGGTCACGGCAGTCATACCTCGGACGAATTTATGACTATGTGTTACCTAAACAACGTTCACTTACTCTTTTTCCCTGCTCATACTTCCCATGTCCTCCAGCCCTTGGATCTCGGCTGCTTTTCCAGTTTAAAAACGGCCTATCGTAGGTCAATTGGGGAGCATACGGCTTTGACAGATACGACAAAGGTTGGAAAGGCAAACTTTCTCGAATTTTATGCGAAAGCTCGAGAAATTGGTCTTCGAAAGGAAAACGTTCAATCTGGGTGGAAAGCGACAGGCTTATACCCTAAAAGCGTAGCCAAACCTCTAAATTCTCGATGGGTCGTGGTGGCTAAACGGCCAGCTATACCACTACGTGTCACCTCGGATATTTCAACACCAAAACGCGGCGGCGACGTCGTAAAGCTATTTGCCGAGAAGAGCGGCTCTCCCACTTCACGACTGTCTATTCGAAAAGCCGCTGCGGCGTTGGATAAGGTTGCGATGGAGGTTATACTAAGGGACCGTGAGATCGAACGCTTGCGGGTGCAACTCGCCCAGGCAAAACCGACTAAACGTCGTAAGATCGTCCAAGATCCGAACGAACGCTTTGCAAGCCTTGCGCAGATACTTGCGCAAGCTAATCGAGAGCCTCAACAACGTGTTCGGAAGGCAAGAAACGCGGTACAAGAGGTCATTATCGTGGAGGGGGAGAGTAGCTCTGAGTCGGAAGAGGAGCCGGCACTGGCTCGACGGTCGGCACGCAATCGGCGACCAACAAAATGCTATATGGAGCGAGATTCAAGTGCAGACGAAGAAAGCGACTAAAGAGCGCCAAATGCGATTTTTCTTGTATTTTTAGCATTTAATTTGACTTTGTTGCGACCTAGTTACGTCGATGTACCAGCTGTGCGATGTAGGCTAAATAGAGCGGGCCAAAGCCAGGGGTGGGCCAAAACTAGGGTGGGCGACTTATACCATCAAAGTCTAAGGTCACCCATCCTGCCCAACTATTATCCAAGTCTCAGGAATCCAGATTAGTTACCTGGATACTTCGGCAAAGATGCCTTGGGCTATGCTCCTTCTTACAGCCAAGTGCGCGCCACCGTCGCTGCGCTCTTAAGATAGAGAGGCCCGGGAAAGGGCTATCGTCTCACCTGCTTCAACCCCTTGATGTTGGGTGCTTTGGGCTGCTCAAGAAGGCTTACGGTCGAAAAATAGAGCATCAGATCAGATGCTCCATAACCCACGTTTCCAAGACCGAATTCTTTCCAGCTTTCTATGCTGCATTTCAAGCTACTATGACAGAAGAAAATATCAGGGCTGCCTTTAGAGGGTCCGGGCTTATTCCTATTGACCCAGAAAGTATAGTCTCGAAGCTTGATATACAGCTACGAACTCCAACGCCGGTTGGAGAAGAGGTCGACCCCTCGACCCCTTGGATTTCGAAGACGCCAAAGATCGTACTTGAGGCCCAATATCAGTCTGAATACCTCCAAAGGCGAATAAGCAGGCATTATAGTAGCTCACCAGAGTCAATTTTGGCAACCTTAAAGTCTCTTTCTAAGGGAACACAGGCAATGAGTGATGCATGAGAATGCCTTATTGAGGTCTGAGGTCCACGACCTTCGACAGGCGAATGAGACACTAAGCCGGCGGCGGAGGGCAAAGAGAAGTCGGCTACAGAAAAGAGGGGTAATAACAGTAGATGAAGGAAGGGAAGCAATTGATCAGATGGGTGTTGATGCGCAGGTAGGGGGCGAATCGTCGAGAATTGGTGGTCAAGGAAGGTCGGCGCAAGCGAAGGAACGGCGCTGTGGATCATGCGGCAAGGCTGGGCATAACGCAAGAACATGTCAGATAGTTGTTGCAGTATGTAAAGAATAGTATAGCGATTAGATTTAATTGATTAGAGGGTTTGTTGTGTTTTTCTGGTGATTCTATTTTGATAGCTGAAGAAAAGTGTTCCGCTCGCTTGTCTGTTTCACTCGCTTATAATGCACCTTATTTTATTTTATTTTATTTTTGGCTACTCGGGGCTATTGGTCTCTGTTCATCGCTGTGTAAGCCTTATCGGGTAGTCAACGACGTCGAGATGATGATGTTACAAGCGTGGATTTCCCACGAGCCAGGTATGGAGTCAAATAACTAGCCTAAGCAATCTTGAATTTCGCCGCCGCGAAAAGCTCGATAAGTCTACTCACATAAGCAAATCCGGTGTAGTCATATAGTCCGTTTCTTAAGTAGTTAGTCGATATTAGCGCCGCATTCCAAACACGAGGCCTTCTCAGTCCAAGTCCTATCACCACCTGTGACGTTTTCACGCAGGTCGCGGATCTCCCACGCTGTGGGGCCGTCTTGCATCTTGAGGCTGGCCTCAAAGAGTCCTAGGTATGGCTTGGAGTCTGCGATCTTCTTCTTGCGGCCTCTCTTGGCTGATCCCTTAACCGATGCGGTGGCGATAGACCTAGAGGGCGTTGGCCCAGGTGTTAGGGTTTCTGTCTCACGAGGCGTTTCGCGAACAGCCTTCTTGACGTGGACATTATCTTGAGTTGACCCATCCCGGACATTGACCGTAGACTGGGCCTTCTGCTCCTCGGCATCGATGGGCGATAGAGGACGCGTTGCCTCCTCGGGCTTCTCTTCCTTCACACTCGATCCCTCGATTTGTTGGGGTTTGTCTGTTCCTAGTCGTTCGTAGACTTGCATAAGAATGTCGTGGGCCATACACTCGAGATGCATCCATTTCTCGCACTCCGAGCTCGTGCATCCTATAAGGGTCTTATCGGGGTTGGCGGGAGTTTGGCATTTACATATAAGTTCAACCGACTATATGCATATTAGCGCTTGCGGAGACAAGATGAGGTACCACGCAACATACGGAAAGCTGCGAGTTACGGCAGTCGTATGCTTGACGCCAATAAAGCTCGTCTGTAATCTCCTCGTCATCGGACTCAATCCATTGATTGACGGTGACGGGTCCTGTAACACTGACAACATTAATAATATCCACTAGAAAAGTCGGTTAGACGCGCTGCAGCACAGCATAATATCGGTCAGTATTCTAGAACATACTGTGGTTGGAGGCGATCAGTTCCTTAGCGCCGTGGTACGGCTGGCGACCTTGAACAGTCTTCTTGCCGTCGAGGGTTCCGGGAGGCAGCTCATAGGGCCAGTACATCCAGTAGACGCGGGCGTAAACGTGATGCTCATCGGAAGCACGAATCTCGAGGATGCGCGCGACCCAGTCATCATTGTTCTCCTCAAAACTACCTTTGCCATCACTTTGAGCCTTTTGTTGCTCAATGGTAAGCTCGTTGGCAACCTGAACGAACCCTTCGCTGTAGTACTTGACGTTGTTGACTGCCAAGAATCAGCCATAAGCCCCTCACGGTACGCACGAAGGCGAGATTTCATCGGATACTTACGGACAAAGCTGTTGTAGCGCGTCATAGATTGCCATTGTTTCCTGGGTTCGACTATGTAATGTAGATCCATGGTGTCGTGGGTCTTGAAGCTGCCGGTTGGGGAGAAGGGAGAGATTTGAAGCTGAACCCGTTGATCGTCATCTTGGCCGTCGCGCTTCTGCTTCTTGTTCTTATGACATTCCTGTTCGGCGCGCGAAGGACCTGTCGCGTAAGAAATCGTAAAAGGGCACTCAGCGCGGTTCTCCTCTCCGACAGATCGCGATCTCTTGCGATTGCTCATTGTGGCGTTTTTACGCGGTTAGGTATGCACGCGTCGAGAGCTGAGAGAAGGAGGGGTTTGAAGATGCAAACAATGAGTCGCGCAATGAAAGGGCGAAGAAAAAGTATGACAGATGAGGGAAGGACGAAGAGATTGTTGTGATGATTAGTGTAGTGAATCTGCGATTTCGCATTAGTTGAGCATAGCCCCAGTTGTCTTTGAGAAATAAGCCACGGGCGGCCTGCATTGTCATATACGCGGGCTCCCACTGGAACGGCGCCCGGGCGTCGCGATCAGATTTTAGCGGGTCCTAGAGTAATTTGATTGGCCAGCAACTGCATCACTATCACCTGTAGGTTTTTTTTTTTTTTTTTTTTTTTTTTTTGTTTACTTCGGACCAAGACCTGGTTCGATTACTACAACGAGTCATTCAACGCGGCAGAGTGAGTGCCTCAATTGGTTCATCGCCCGTTCTTCCCCTTCGCAGGAGCTTGCTTCATTCCCCGATGATTGTTTGCCCCCCGAAGCCGGGTACAACTCTCGCGATGAGCTACCGTAGTGACCGCAATCAACACATGGGCCGCCACGCGAGGCTATGCATTTATTACGCGAAAATCAACTACCAAAACAAGTGGTAGAAAAATTGTTACATATGCATGTGATAGATCTTGGCAGCACAAGCCTTCAGCAAAGAAGAAACACATGCGCAAAACAACAACTCGAGGCACGGGTTGCCCATTCTCAGTCCTAGCCAAAGAATCATTAGACAAGACAACCTGGTCTTTACAACATCGACCAGACAAGGAATGTTCAAAGCACAACCACCCTCCAAGTCAGCACCCATCAGCTCATCCCGTCCATTGCAAACTCAATTCTACCGGAAAAGCAACTCTATCAGAGCTTGTATCCGCCGGCATCTCTCCGAGGGATATCCAGACATATTTGCATCAGCAAGACGGTAACTCTCTAGCAACTAGGCAAGATATTTACAACTACATTGCTAAGTTGAAAGATAACATACACGAAGGACAAAGTTCAATTCATGCTCTGATTAACAAACTAGATCGAGAAGGATTTTGGAGCCGTTTGCGGGTCGACGGCAATCAACGAGTTACTGCAATTTTGTTTGCTCACCCAGGTTCCCTACAATATCTTCAAGCCTACTCTGATCTCTTGCTGCTTGACTGCACATACAAGACAAATAAATACCAGATGCCACTTCTTGACATGATTGGGGTGGATGCTTGCCGGCGATCATTTTGCATTGCATTTGCCTTTCTCAGCGGTGAGCAGGAGGAAGATTACGTATGGGCTCTAGAGAGACTTCGATCACTCTACGAAATGGTTGGAGCTAGGCTTCCGTCGGTGGCTCTGTCTGATCGCTGTCTGATCGCTGTCTTGCATGCCTCAACGCCATCGACACAGTGCTCCCATCAGCACAGTTGCTGCTTTGCCGATGGCATGCAAACAAAGCAGTGCTTGCACATTGCCTTCCAATTTTCGCGCTACAGGAGAAACTAGCTGCTGGCACGGCGTCTAATGCATCGGGAGCCATGAAAACGGGGTCCAAACCGGATGGTTGGGCAGATTTCTATAACTTTTGGCATTCTATCATGCAGTCACCTACCGAGGCGATTTTTAATGAGCGCGTGGCAGCATTTGAGAAAAAGTATCTTCCGAATCATTCTGAAGAGGTTGCATATATAAAGAAGACTTGGCTTGAGCCTTACAAGGAAAAACTCGTCAAGGCCTGGGTCGATCAGCATATGCACTTTGGCAATGCAGTTACTTCACGTGCTGAAGATATCCATGCACTGTTGAAGTCTTACCTGAAGAGAAGCAATTTTGACCTTTTTGATGTTTGGAGGACCATCAAGCATGCAGTCGAGAATCAGTTATCGGAGCTGCAATCAACACAAGCCAGACAACAAACTCGAAAGCCAACGCAGCACTTGGGCGGGGGCTTATTTAGCGCTCTGCTGGCTGGATTTCCCACGAGGCGATGAAGAAGTCGAAGAACAGCGGAAGCTGCTAGACAAGAAAGATCCACTTGCACCCTCCGTCTGCACAGGAGCTTTCACAAGATCATACAGCCTCCCTTGCGCTCATAAGATCAAGACGCTACAAGACCGAAACCAAGGTCTTCAAATAGGTGACTTCCACCACCAGTGGCATCTCAAACGCAGTGGAACACAGCCTCGGCCAATCCTTGAACCCCATAAAGTTAAGCTAGGAAGCAAGACAACAAGAAATGCACAGTCAAGTACCCAAAGAGAACCGAGCATGTTTGAACAGTTGACAAGGCGGGCACCGCGGACATGTTCAAGATGCCACATAATAGGCCATTCAAGGACATCGAGGTCATGTCCTTTCGACAACAAGAGATCTTGCTAGAATCATCCGCCTCACACCTAGCTGAGCCATTCACCACACCAATGCATGTGCTAGCTGGCTGGTCCAAAGAAGCCGAAGATGCATCAGCAAGTCAGATCAGGGCCCAGCCTTCCTCAAGCAGTCATTTCGATGATGTACAGGCCCAGGGCCAGGACCAGGAACAGGACCAGGGACAGGATACTATAGTAGTACGAGGTACAACTCCGCAATCACTGCAGACTACCGAGGAATCAGACCTACCTACGCGATCACAGCCAGCAATATCACCGTCGCCGCCATTGAGGCAACCAGTTCCAGAGTTGCTGTATTACGCACCTGAGGCTATATATCGACGTTATCTCGCCGCGAGAGCAGCATGGTATGAAAGCCAACCTGCTGGCAGCCTCAAGACCAATCAAGAATATCGCAGGGCAATAGGTCTTCCGCAGCGATATGGTAGAGAAATGTATACCTGGTGCCAAGACCACAAACAAATGGGCCAGTACTGCCATTTGCCGCAAGGAGGACGAAGAAAATGGACAAAGGAAGAAATGATGGCCTATATTGACTGGGATTTTGAAGAGGTTAGACGCACCGATGCTCAGGTCAAAAGGCAGCTAGAAAACAACGGCAAAGAAGCTACTAGACGCGGCATGGGGGATATTTTGAGGCAAGCCGAAGATGACATGAGGGCCAAAGAAGCATTTAATTCCTCAATATAGTTAACTTAATTGCCTTTACTGTAGTTAACTCATGACTTCACCTAAAGGTTTCGTGCCGTCAGCATAATTGGTATCAGTTGATGTGTTGGCTAGCCAATCAAATTACTCTGGGACCCGCTAAAATCTTATTGCGGCGCCTGGGCGCCGTTCCAGTGGGAGACATATGCTTTAAGTAACTCTGCGGGATGGAATACCCCGCACAAGAGACAACTAAAGAACAATCAATTAACACATTTGCTGCTGCTCAACACATTTACTTTAACCCTTAAAGCACGCTCAGTGCGTCACGTAAGGTTAAGGTTACAACGGTACTTCGGGCAAGAGGCGGCTCTCTGGTCTTACCCTGGGAACAGCATACTGATTGCCTCACTGATGTGTTCTGCTAGTCCTTTTTCCAAATGCATCTGACTGCTCCACTGAATAATCCGATATCGAACTTGCCGTTGGTCAATCTTACCGCAGCCATCGGATGCATCCTACGAATCAAAGGCGACGGAGTCTAGTCTGTAAATGTCACAGGGTAGGCATGATCTTGACGGCCTCAGGAAACGGGGCCCCATAGGGACACGCCTAGGCGCCTCTCCACTTCTGCACGCGTAGGCGTGCGGATTATGTCAGCCCCCAATTTGGCACATCTCCACAACTGCATTTCGAGTTTTGAGGCTGGCGGGTTTCAGAATCCCGAGATTCAGAACTGCAATGAATTCCTAATTATCAAGCTGAATACAATTCCTGCTGCTCTTTTACATCATTCTCAGCCGCCTCCCAGATGTCGCGCATGCCTCTTCTGCTAGAAAATGGATTACTTTCCATCTCTGCCGCTACCTGAGCCTCCACCCGATCATCTTCTGCTTTACTCCAATCCAGGTACGCCATCATCTCTTCCTTACTCCAATCTCTAGATCCGGTCGGTGTCGTACAGAGTTTGCCCATCTGCTCCCAGTCAAGACACCACTGGTAGCTTGCTTTGTCATACCGCAAAGGTAGACCTAACGCCCTCCGATACTGCTGGTTAGTTTTGACGCTACCACGAGGCTGCGCCTTATACCAAGCATCTCGAGCAGCAACATATCTCCGATAGATAGCTTGTGGGTCATCATATCTTAGTGTCGGCGCCACCGATGCTGTTGAAGATGATGCTACTGGCGACGTCCCTCCCTGTGTCGATGGTTTTGCTGATGACACTGCCGATGATGCTGCTGTCTCTATACTAACGACAATGCAGCTAGTATCATCCCTGCCAGACCCAGCATGTCCGGATAATCCTGATGACGGGTCTTCCAGTGGTTCCCCTTCCTGCAAAGATGATACAGATGCAGATACTGCTGCTGCTGGTCGTGCTTCCCCGGATAATGCTGGCGAGAGTGCCACTGGCATTGCTTCTACCTGTGCTGACGATGATGACAAATACAAAATCCCCTCGTACCGTTGAGGGCATGCCTTTGACGGCGGAGATTGCGGCACATTCGGACACCACGACGCATCAAGAACAACGGCAGGAGGAGCGGCAGGAGCAGCCCACGAGAAAACCTACACACGCGAGAGGCAAGCGAGCCGCAACTACGCGTCAGCAAGCCAGCAACGCCGATGAGCGCTTCGCTGGCTGGCAAGGCATTCCAGCGCTAGCAAAGCTTCATGCTCTTGCAGTCTATATACGGAGCTCGGCTCTACACAACGATCAGTGGTACGATGCTGTAGGTAAGCAACTAGGCATCGATAATATCACGAGGTGGTCCTCATGGCATAGAGTGATCACTGTTGCGTTAAAGAAAAAGCCACAGATCATCCAGTTTACTGCTGAACATGATAATGATCTCGAAGGTAATACTCTTAGCAGTAGGGATTGGGAAATGCTAGAAAGAACGCTAGAGTTCCTTCAACCTTTCTATGAGGCCACGTTGGAAGCTGAAGGCGCTATGGCATCAATCTCACAGTCACTTGAGCTGCTGGACCTTCTCCTAGGACACTGCGAAAAGTGGAAGGTACATGGCTAAGTTTTACATCTTCCTGCTCTATCCATAGCGTATACGGCATGCTAATCAGCTAACTAGGCCCACTACTCGCAGCCGAGCAATCGCGATGATCGTATAATTCACTCTATCGATATGTGCTGGTTCATACTCGATAAGTATTACACTATGACCGAGGATGTCCCCGTATATGCCGCCGCCCTCCTTCTCGATCCTTCTAAACGCAAGAGCTATATCGAAGAATGTTGGCCCGAGGAATGGCACGAGGGCGCGTTTGCCGCCGCCCGTAGTCTCTGGAAGGAAGAATACAATTACGATGTCGAGATACATCTCTCAGAGCAGTCCTTGGCTGTGCCTGCATTATTAAAGCGAAAGAAGGATACGATGCTCTCAAAGATGCGCTTAGAGGTGCGAAATAACACGATGGCGAGAGCACGGGGCAAGGATGATTTCGATAGCTTTATCTCCGAGGCTCCTATCGCACTTGCAGAGGATACTACGCCCCTTCAATGGTGGTGTAGTGAGGACGTTCGTACAGCGTATCCACGGCTTAGCCGCATGGCTATCGACATCCTGTCTGTACCAGCAGAATCAGCAGAGCCAGAGCGGACCTTTTCAGGGGCTAGGCGCACAGCTAGGTGGGATAGGCTACGATTGTTGATTGAGAGCATTGAGAAGATTGAGTGTATCGGCAACTGGCTGCGAGAGGGACATATTAGACCGTCAGCTGAGGGTGGGATAGGCCTCCCGTGTGATCCAGATGCTATAGAGGGTGATATCTAATAACAAACAGGCCAAACGGGAGCGTTTGAGAAGTTTTCAGGCTATATAGCTACACCAATAGATTCCTCTCACTTCAATGCAGTAATTAGCTTGGCATCACGTGAACCCTTATATGAATATGCATGAATATGTTATATGAATATTTGTTTTGGTAGATAAGTTGAATATAATATGAATATAAGACAATCGGTGTGAATATTCATATAGCCATGTATGTCAACCTCAAGGCCCTCTCGGAGGATTTCTCGTTGATTGCCAACAAGAGTTTCAAGCATGTTAACAATTGCATCGACACCGAGGTCACCTTCGATAGCTGTATCACCTGTTCCTCGCATTGCCATAGTCCAAAGGCTATTTCGGGCATAGGGCTTGGCTCTTTCAACGCCATAGCGAAAGTACTCGTCGATAGTCTCGTTGTTGGTGTTATACTGCCACTCTCCCTCGTAGAAGGTTCGAAACTCATTCTGTGCTCGCATCATGGGCTCGGTGTGAGATCCGCCAAGGACTATCTCGTAAGCATCGAGTAGTGGTTGGTTGAGAGGGTCATCAACGTAGACCATGCTACCCCAGAGAGCCGGCCATATGTAGTTGGCACGTAGACGCAACAGCAGTTCCGAGACGAGGGCGTAGAACTCGTGGTTATAAGGAGCGGCATCGTTCCAAGTTGCCTCCCAGCGGGAACTGGCTCGGTTAGTCTCTGATATGGAACAAGGTTAATTACTTACCCGACCCAGCTAGAAAGACCCGGCTGCTTATCGTTAAGGAAGATGCCGCGATATTTAACAGAAGGCGATTGTTGCAGTTTGGGCTTTGAAAGCACAAAGATTTCGTTCCGCTTCCGTACTGGCACATCAGCCCACCTGTACCATGGACTCACACCGATCTGCTCGCTGACATCATAGATGCCGTAGATAGTTCCTCTAGGGTCACTGCCCGCAATTACAAGGGCTTGAGCAGTGCCGTTGATAGGATCTTGCATAAGTTGACTGACAAAGGACTCCCACTTGCCATCGATTTGTCATGCTCCATTTGACGGAAATTGCCAATTGGCTCGGCTGGGCGCACTTAAGGTTCAGTAGCCTATGGCTACCCCGCTTCGAACCACCTGGGAAGACGAAGGTATAAGAAGGCAGCTACGGGCGAAAAAGGAAGAAGTTTGGAATTAATTGTCATATACTACAGACCCTACCTATCAATTGGAGACCTAGCCGCTACTGAGCAGCTGCCCTCTAGAGACTGTATCACTCCTTCTGTGGATTGAGGTCCAGCCTATGACAAGATTCCACTTACGTCGATGACGCCATCTTCGATAAGTGTATCAATGAGTTCAGAGTGGCCAACTGTGCCTACTATGATAACTGTGTTGGCAGCATCAGGATCCGAGTAGGTTGGGCCAGTGAAGCTTTTCTCCTTGAGAGTGCGGTACTGCAAGGTTTTAGTGGATGCCCACTCATGGAACAAGATACTCACATATGTGTTGTTCTTGACGTCTACAGGGTCAAAGGTGTACTTTGCTGGTGATGCATCTTTCTCTCCATTGCTAAGCGTGAAGTTCGTGCCAGTGACACGGCCAAAGTCGACGGCAAGGTCACCCGCAGCGCGAATTACGCCCCAATAGTCATCCTTGGAGACGCGAATCTGTCCCGTACCGATATCTGCACCGACGATTTGGAAAGCCTTATCTGATTTGTTGAAGGCGACAATAGGCTGCTGGCCAAGGCACAATGCCAGTGGCAGCAGGCCTAACAATGTAGTCGATGCCCTTGAGAGCTTCATAATCAGCAACTAAAGGTATTTGTTTAAACACCTTCGACCCATGTATGATAATGGCCTTAGAACCTTAGGTTTACCATGGCCTGTCTTATCTCTTCAGTGCGCAAGGACTTCCGCTCCGTACCTCGCCCCACATGACCCCAGTCATCCTAGGGGTACGAGCGGGGTACGAAAAGTTTATTTGTTATAGCAATTACAGCCAAAACACCATACAAATTATTTTAAAGTCATCAATGAATTCCCCGTTAATTCTAGATGAGATACATGTTGTCAGCGCCTATGATGACAGTAGCTTTACCAAAGAAGATCACAGCCGCCGTATACACCCAAATGACCCCACCCGGGTAGCTATCGTTCCGGCCGAAACAGACCGCGGCACCAAATTCGAACCTTTCCACGTTGAAACTCGCAATCTTTACATTAATACACTGCCCCCAACGCCACTACAGCTATTCCAGCTTTTTCTTCCTATTTCCCTCGTTGAGAAAGGGGTTTATTTCACTAAGATCTGGCTGGCGTGGCTCAAAGAGAATAAGGTCATTGATAGCTGGAATCACCCGATGAGTCCATCTTCAAAGCTACGAAATTGGGTGGGACCCTTGGTCGCAGAAGTATATGTATGGCTTGGAATACTGATTTATATGGGTAAACATAAGGAAAGAACGATTAGAAGCCACTGGAGTACCCCAAAGCCCGGTGTTCAACGCCCTCAGCACTCAATCATCAAGACTAACTCACCGCCACCCCACACACCCCCGGTCCCCGCACACCCGTGATAGCATCACAACTGAATCCATAGATGACTTCAATTAATTCTACAATAATGAGTATTTATTCAATTTAACTGAGAATTTGGAAACTAATTCACAAATATTGTATCTGCAGTCTGTGTTTTTGGTGGATTCTTTTTATGTTGTTTTCTCTTATTTCCCTCGATCTGATGTAGTACGTTCTTTTCAGCCTGATCACGAGCCGAGATAATCTGTTCAATTTCAGGGAAAGCCTTGTTGGGGTCAAATTGAACGGCAACTCGGCCAGTGGGCTCTCTTGCTGCTACTGATGCCCTCAGTACTGCTTTTTCCTCCTCTAGGCGTTGAATTTGACTGTTCTTCTGATCAATACATTTCATTGCCTTCTTTATGATATAATTGAAGTCGCGAATAAAGGTATTTCCTTGACTTTGTATAGATTCCAGTTGTTTTTGAATATCAGCATTTCCTTGGGGCGTACTCCAGATCGTATCAGTGATTACTTGGGCCTTCCTTGGTGTTATAGGCCCGTTGAAGCGCTTGCGTTTCTTCTCCCTTGGCTTCAATGCCGCCAATGCCTTCTGTAGATTGATCGGGAAAAGCCCAGAGGCCGAGAAACCACTTATTATGTTCCTACGGCTCAGGGCTTTTAATGAAGCCCTCTCATAAGCTTTTAGGAAGAGTTGTTGTTGGTGTGGTGAGGTTGCTTCGTATGAGGCCCAAGAGCGGGTAAACTGGCGATAGTATGTTTTTAATGGCCCAAATACGGCAACATCGAGCGGCTGAGTGATATGTGATGAGTGTGAGGGTAACCAAGAGAGCCAAATCTTATGCAGCCACGCCTTTTTCATCAATTCCGCTGTAATATGTGACTTATGCTGGTCTAAGACCAATAGTCTCCATTGCTTAGGATCCTTCGGCTTAGTCTGCGGTATGAATACCCCATGAACCAACGGATGAAGATGTCGCTGTTAGATCAACCGGTTGGACTGCAAGTATACTTCCAATCAGGAAAAACGGCTGGAAACCACTGTCCTTGGAGGTTCTCGCCGGTAAAAACGACACAAGGCGTGAGACGCCGACCGTCTGCTGATACAGACTCGATTATCGAGCTCCAAGTCGTATTGTCAGACTTTATCCTCTCTGAGGAAGAAGTCATCGCTGTTCCGGCTACTATGCCACTGTTGGTCTCACCGATTTGAACGCCGGTCTCGTCAACGTTGTACATATAAGGCCTAGTTATCTTCTTCGTGTTGACTACCCAATTAAGACCATCGTAGTACTCGGAAAGTGACTCCTTCGTCACACAACGCTTCCTCACGGATTCTATGACTCGCGATGGCTTCAATTCTATACTCGAATGGCGGGTAAAGAATCTGTCAACCCAGTTCTTGCTGACATAAGAGACTTGCCCGTTGACTGATGATAACGCCTGTGCGAAGTCATGGATATCCTTCTTCGTGAGAGGCTGAAAAGCGCGCTCTCGGTCGATAATATAGTTGACTAGGTCATCTTCCTGCTCTACAGTAAGCGACTGATCTTTCTGATGTGCTGTGCGGATATCCTGGCCTCCGGCGCATCGATCATGCAATGTCGAGAGCTTGACTGAGTGTTTTACTGCCGAGGGCCGCAAACCAATGATTTCTACGTCCTCAATGGCCAATAATATCCTCTTTTCATAATCTGATAGCTGCGATTCTATTGCCATTGAAATAAAAAAAAACGGATTTTATTTGATGATATAGAATAAAATGAAGAATCCTGTGTTGATGACGCGTTGATGGTGTTGAAGTGTGCGGGGACGGGGGGTGTGTGGGGTGGCGGTGAGTTAGTCAAGTTCATGTCACAGTGGAAGTTTCAGCTTATCCACCGGCACTCTCGTCCCTTTGACTACATTAAGATCGATGAGACTGCCCCTTTGCTGAAGGTATTCCAAGCTGCTGAAGAGTGGTCTGATCATATACAGGCTGTGTCTGCAGAGATCTTCCTTCCGGGCTCTCATTTGGCTGTGGATGAGTGTATGATCCGCTATACCAGCAGATCGAAGGAGACAACGGTTGTCAAGGGTAAGCCGGCCCCCCTAGGGTTCAAGATCTGGGTTATCGCTCAACAAGGCTTCTTTATCCGCTGGCTATGGCACATCAAGGATGCAAAATACGGTACCGTTGGCGTTGAACTTCCTCCACCGAAGTCATCCACACGAGGTCAGGGAGGGCGAAGAGACGGCCGAGGCAGGGGCGCAGCCAAGGCCGCAGGGAAGAAGCCTGCCAACGAGGCTACCACAGAAGACAAGCCTATCGCCTTGAACTCGACCCAGAGCGTCGTTGTTGCCTTAGCAAATCTACTGCCAAAAGCGACATATCAGGTCTTTGTGGATAACCTCTTCTCGTCGTCCGATCTCTTCCGCAGCCTCCGCAAGCATGGCCACGGAGCTACAGGCACCGCTCGCCCTGACTGCGACATCCACAAGGAGCTACAGCAGGATAAAAAGGCTGATGGGGGGGTCAAGACCAGCTACGAATTCAACCAGGTCAAGATAATCCCGACCCCTGATAATCAGGTACCAGCTTAAGACACTTCTTATATATGAAATCCTTACTAATTTATCTATGTGCCGTACTTCTAGGTTAACCAAATTGTAACGGTTGCACAAGCCGTTAAGCCACAGGGCAAAAGATCGGGCCATAATCGCTATGCAAGCAATTATGGGTGTGCTACAGCTGCCTTATAGAAGCCTTACAGCGCTGTTACGGGCACGAATCGTAACACAAATAGCTTGGAAAGACAACCGGCTTGTATTATTCTTGACTAACGTACATAATAAGCGAGTGTCTCACCTCACTTTACACCTAAAAAGCTGACTTTTCAAAGCTTATATAGAATTCAGGCTAAGTCTAAAAAAGCTAAAAGCTGTATAACTTACTTTTAACTATATCAGAAAGCTATATACTTCATAAGAGAATTATAGCTAAATTATGTATAGAGTTATTAAAGAAAATCTATTTATACTGTATTTTAGCAGGTTTTTTATATAATATAATATTTAAAAAAATCTAAAAAATAGTATCTTAGCTTTAAAAGCTATACTACTTAAAACTATAGTTTTTAATATTTTCTATTATTTTATTTTAGCTAAAAAAGTGCTATAGGGTAAGCTGTTTTTAGGTAGCACAGTATAGTGAGACACTCACTTGTCTGAGACACTCGCTTATCATGTACGTTACTGTATTCACCGGCGCCGACGATGAGCGAGTCGAGCGGAAGAGGAAGAGGCCGTCCTCACGGAAGCCAGAGGCCAAGCCATTACGCCGGTTTTTTGGTGACGAAGCCGTCAAAGTCATAAAAATCCCGGCAGTTGCTGCTGCTTATAACGACGAGATGAACCATGTTGATCGAGGTGACCAATTGAGATCATATTATACGTATGATCATCCCCTCCGCCGCGGCCTTGGCAGGCACTCTGTTGGACCTTCCTTCTTGATGTGGCCTTTGTGAATAGCTACCTTGCTCAACTACAGGGGCCATAGCCAAATTGGAAGAGGTATACAAATCATAGGGAGTGGCGAGAATGCATTTATAACGAGTTATTCAACGCCTACGGCCAAGAAAGTCAGGCAAAGAAGCTCTACCGGGTCGGAGACGAGCGTGACTTAAAAGACCCTGGATTACAGCGTAAACACGCCAATCGCCAGGTCAATCATATCAACCGGAAGGTAAAATCAGATTGCCTAGCTTGTAAGGGCCTTCGGCAGGGGCAGTCAAGGGCAAAACGCCTGAAAAGAGACCCTCTAGGAGAGGCCAGCGGCAACAAGAGAAGGCATCACGAGCGAGGCGGGCAGACTGTGTACGGGTGCAGGTTATGCGATGTTGCGATTTGAAACAATCAAAATTGCTGGGACTTCTATCATCATACTTTAGGTGAAGAATTATGTACCCTTGATTTGGCGTATTTTAATTGGACCGAACCCCTCGTCGAGACCTGTGCGGAGGTCCTTGCGCACTGAAGAGATAGGGAAATATAGGGCGATCTGGGGAGTCCTACTAACCATGGAATGGCTTCTGCAGCATTTGGAAGACTCAAAACTGCAGCATGAACACGATGAAGAGCCCTACCTACGGATTGGATGCAACCTCGGCTGGATGAAATTGGATCAGTATCACACCCTCACTGAAAATAGTCCGGTTTATCTGGCGGTCCTTGTCCTCCATCCTGCTTTTCGTTGGCCCAGCGTCGAGTCTCAGTGGGCCGATCATCCCGATTGGTTAGAGAGAGGAAAGATTGCTGTACGCGAGCTGTGGGAAGAGTATCGAAAATTGCCCGTCGAGCAGGATACGATACCGGAACAACCGACTGCTGCGAGAAAAACAACAGACCTGGATGATTTTATGGCGTCGGTAAGGAAGCTCAGCACTCAGCGTGCGCCCTCAGCACCACCTACACGGGATGAGTACGCCGAGTGGTTGTCCACTTCCGACCCCGGCGATTGCCTGGTGGATAATCCGATACAATACTGGCTTCTCCGACGACGACAGTATCCACGCTTGTCACGAATGACAATTGACCTGTTTTCAGTTCCCGCGATGTCTTCTGAGCCAGAACGGATATTCAGTCTTGCAGGGCAGATGGTCACGCCTCCGAGAAGACGGCTGCAAGCAGATATTGTCGGAGCAGCGCGGTGCATCTCATCGTGGGAGAAAAGTGGGGCCATTGAGATATCCAAATAGATCCAAATAAATCCAAATGTGCCCAAACGAATTCAAATCAAATTCAAATCGAGTCGTCCGTATCCAAATCAAATCCACGTAGGGTTAATTTGATTTGGATTTATTTATTGACAAGCCTGCTTCATAATATCTGGCTGTTTGAGAGCGCGATTGGGACAGTCTGGGTACGGCCAAACGGCGATCGTTCCTCTCAACAAGCTCCGGGATCTGTCGCTCTGCACTTGGCCGTCTGTTCAGGGGAAATCAGAGCTCATCGCATTGCTACTTGGTCCTTTGTTACACCATCACCTCTAGACTCTGGGACAGCCAGCACAGCAATAGTTATATGGAAACAGCTAGCTCAAGTTGACCTCTCTCTTAGATCTACCTCACCAGGCCTTTATGAAACGACAGTTTATGTGATCGTAGATTAGTCAGGCCGTTGCATAATCAGGCGGCTGAAGATGGCACCCTCCCCGCAACCAGCGGCTGAAACGGGGATTCAGGGGTACAGATCCCGTGCAAGATGAGCTAGAAGAATAACATGTCAATCGAGCGTCTGTGCGCGTTAGTTCAAGGCCCAGGCCTAGTCACCTTTCAAACCCCCTGCGGCCGCCGTGCCACGGCTGTTACGACGAGGCTGAGAAGTGATCAGCAGTTGGCTGGGGTATCGATTGCCACCGTCGATTCTTTGGGCTTGGTGGTACCTTTTCAGACTGATATAACGGTAATGCTCTGGAGCTACAGGTTGTTTATCATGGACCTGGGGAATGAGTGATCTGGGCCTAGGGACCACAATCTGTTGCATTGTGGCGAAGAAAAGGGTATTTGGTAGTCTCGCTGATACTCCTCCGGTGTTCTCCTGTCGAACACGTCGATTACGCTTTCACCGTGGAGATCCATGGGCCCTTTTTACGTCGTCGACGAGCGCACCTTCCCCGTGAAACATGAAGCAGGCTGTGAGAACGCAATGTCCATTCTCAATGGGGATATCACATGGCGTGCGCCTTATGTTTCCCGACTGTACTGATCAACAAAGCTTTAGAGGTGTCCTTCAGCCTAGGCAGGGTGCAGGCGGATTCAGTATTAGTGAAGGACTCAATTGCTTCCGCATTACTGATAAAGACGATACTGCTGTGTTTCCTCTTGTGGTTTTGTTGCTTTTCTGACGATGTCGGTTACATTCTTGACACACAAAAAAAAAAAAAAAGAAAAAAAAAAAGACTGCCATGGATTACGATTGCGTCTCTTTTCTTGCACGTACACTACGAACTGGTGTTCAGACTATTTGTTCGAACCAATTCGTTCAAACAGCCTTGTGTTCAGACCTAGTAGCAAGCAAGCCCAGGAAGAAGACGGACCTATGTATACTCGGCGGGCATGGTATACCCAATTTGACGTTGTACGAACTCATGAAGTTTTGTTGAAGAAAAGAAGCGTCCCTTGGCAGCAGGTTGTAATATCTGAGGATCCAGTCGTCAACTCAGAGGCAGAAACCAGCAGAGACCATATTTTCATCCAAGCGGCAGGCTGGTTCCGTCGTTGCTAAGGTCTACTGCATATTACTCTAATACAGAATTAAGATGCCAATGATCCCCCCGAGCGTTCCTGCACTGTATGAAATGCTCAAAAGCAACTGGAAATGGATTAACAGTGAGGTAGATATTCCACCAAAACTCACGATGATCACCAAGTCTATCAGTGAGAGGTATCCTTGGTAAGTACACATCGTTGCAAAGGTCCACAAGGAAGAATAGGGTACCTTATGCCTGGCCTGAGGGGTTTTATTCCGAGAGGCATACGCATCCCAGTTACTGGCGATCATCGGCTCCACCATTTGGTCGAAATCGTCCTTCTGCTCACGAGGCTTGTGAGGAAGACCGGAGGACCTTGGTGGTGCTTGAGAAGCACCTTTGAGCGATCTGCTGGAGTTACAAGGGATCATTCACTGCTTGATTCACGATTGCCTGGTGTTCCTGAGAACTCATTGAATGACTGTGGAATGCTCCGCAAACACGACATGCTGAACCATTCATCCCAATCCACGTCTAAAGCTGCACGCACCTCGATACCTTCGCCCTGTAGACTTTCTCCTCCTCCATCTGGCTGATAGGACAGAAATTAGCGGCGATTCTGTCGTGATATAGCATGAAGTGGGTCCGTTAAACGTCCAACTTGGCTCAAGCACGACTTGAGATCCCAACTACAGAAACAGCACGGAACCCGCGAAGAACAAATTTTCAGCGCACATCATCCCCCTCAGCTATCGCCAGCCGATGGTACATTCGGTGGTCTAAGCGAATGTTAATGATCTGACTGCAGATTTTCCCGAAGAAAGACCTGTACAGTACCAAGGAGCAAGGACCGGATGCGCAACCTCCCGCATCAACTCTGGAGTGTGATGAGTTGTGATCCTACTGCGGTCTTCCGTTCCACGTCGATCCGTTTCCAGGCCCTCCACCACCGAATCGATCGCGGAGACAGCTCATGGGGCCATGATTGCTCTGTCGACGTTGTTGGTCTGAGTCTGCCGTTGAGCGTCGACTACTCTGAGAAGGACTTCTCTGTCTCATTCGCGCACCGTGTTCGCTCGGGGCAGTCGCTCTTGGGCTTGTTGGAGAGTGAGAGCTGCGTCGCTGTAGTCGCGATATGTCATAACCGAGCCCAGATGCTGCACCTCGATCACGTTCATTACCACGTTCTCTCTCTTGTTGCTGATTCGAGGTGTTCCGCAAAGCCTCAATTAGGGGACTCAGGCGCTGGTTTGGAGGTCGGGAGTATCGCAGGCCTAAACGTGAAGAAGGAGCGGTGGCAAATGCTCCCCACTAATTAGGATTGAACGTGGACGAACCAGGTTGGTTAGAGCTAGACCCAGAGTTTGAGCCTTGAGTTTGGTTGCTGTCACCGCTATTGTTACTGCCATTGCCACTACTGTTACCACTGCGATTGTTCTTTTCGATCGACGTTCGGCAGATGGGGCATGTGTTGTGCTCCTTCAGCCAGAGAGTAACGCACTCCTCATGGAACCAATGGTTGCAAGGTAAAAATGTGGCCATGTCTCCCTCCTTCATTTCATCAATACAAATCGTACACTCTGCCTTGCCCCCCGAGCCCAACATTTGTTTATCGACTGGTTTTCGTTCCAGATTTCTAAGGGCTTCCTCTGTAGCTGGAGGGGCGGCGTTGGACTGGGGGTTGGCCTCCATGAGTCCAGTGATGATCCGATCCAGGGCCTCCTGGGAGTACAATGCATCACCATACATGGCATTTGCCGGGTTGAGAAGGTTCAAAGTATCCTGTAGACTTCGAGCCAGGCCAGATGGAGAGCCCCCAGCACCTTCTTCGCCTCCCTGGTTATGACCGGGTGGTGGTCCAATATCTCGTAATATGTTCTGAAAGAAACTGGTACGTTGATTAGCTTCAATAGTCATGGAAATGGCCGTGACCCGTAAACCACCAGGTCGTTCAGGGAGTTGAAATGGGGGTTATGCATACTCTTGAAATGTCTCGCCTCCTGGGGGGCCAGCAGGACCGCTTCGTGTTGCATGGATAGGTCCAGAAACTATTGTCACAGAAGTCGTTCCACCTCCAAGCGTTCCCGACGTAAAAATTGTCCGGTAAATGCGTGGTCCAAAGTTTGGTTCTGGGGGTTGTTCACGTTCTCCGGGGCTCGATGGGAAAGATCCGTTTCTACCAGGCGCGCGAGGTCCAAATCCGTTAAGCATATCAAAGAAGCGCTCAAAAGTCGGTGCAATAGCGGGACTGTCTCGGACGCTCCGTCTGAAGGCAAATCCATGCTGGGTATGCTCATCTATGTCGACTTCTTCAGGATCTGAATCGTATGGGTGATGCTCGGGTGAAGCGGAGGCAGAGGAGTGGTGATCGAAGTCGCGGGGATCGTTTGCAGGATCAATCTGGATATCACGGTTAACATTCTGGATATCAAGTGGCAGCAGCGGAAAACCTACAATCTCTGTAATCTCGCCATGGCATTCGGGGCATGTTAGTCCATTCTCGTCTCGATACCATTCAGCAACGCAGGCGTGGCAATAGACAACCTCACGGCCCGCGGTCGCGTCAAGGTGGCCATGCCTCTCGGCACGAGAGACACATCTGCTGCTGCGGTCGATTGCGCTAATACGCAGTTGAGGCATGCGAACCAAGGCCGGCAAGGCGAAAGGTTAGACTAAATGTTTGTTTAAGAAGTCGTTTATACAATATGGAGCACTTACAGCCTCCTCTTCGCAATAGCATTCTTTTTGTTCTGTCCAAGGTGGGAATCCTCTGGTACAGACATGCACCCCGCACGTAAGTATGACGTTTAGTTTAGGCTGCCAATTTTGCCCGTAATTTGCCCGTAAGTAGCTTTTTGGCCGCGGGGTAAGCATACCTTTGAAGTACTTGGTAAGGCCTAGAGATCGGCCTCCCGTGCTTTCCTTTCCACCGTAGGTGCCCGTGCGTCAAGCACGGGAGGTAGGGTGACAGGGAAAAGGGTCGGCCGACAGGGAAAACCTTTAGGTACCTCAATTTTTGCGGGGTTAGTATGAGATAATTAAATCACTCGGCCATTGGCATAGTCCCCGTTTTCTGCACCGATGACGCCCGTGATATGTTATTACCCCCACCAACGTCATAGCGCAACGACGGGTCAACCACCACAACACCAAGAATAATATCACAACACTCAGTCACAGAGGCATCAATTATGAACCAAATCTCACGATGAATACATCATTCGAAAGCACAGAACCTACTCTTACTGCATTACAAAGATGGATTAATTCGGTGACTAGAAAACCTAACATTTCACGGTTTACCTCGTACAACCTTGAACAACGCACTGTTGCGGCTGTTGAGCTCTTTAGGGAAGGATTTTACACTTCTCTCGCCAAAGCAAGCAGAGAATGGAGAGTTCCATATAAAAGACTATGGTCACGACATAGAGGAAGCCATCCAGTTACTCAGAATGGTGGGAATTATACCTTATTCTCTAAGGAAGAAGAATAAGCTATTCTTACTTGGTGCTGGCGCCGCGTCACTCAGGGACATCATATACAACAACGTACGCTTCGTCAGTATGCCAATTCCGTACTCAAGGCTACAGATCGTGATGCCACAGCTTCACGATACTGGGCACGACGTTTTCTACGACGTTATTCACAGTTCTTTCATAAAAGAAAGTCTCAGACTCTCTCAGCACAACGTAAAGCTATGTCAGACCGAGGAAATATCCAAGGATGGTTCAGGAAGTGGAATATCTTTACTGAGAACGAAGAAAATGACGTAGACTTTGAAAATGTATGGAATGGCGATGAGACAGGCTTCCAGATCGGTTATCTTAAGAACGGTATCTTCCTATGGACTTTTGGGGAAGTTGAGGAGCCCGTTTTGACCGACGCACACGAGACAATAAGTGTCACAACCGTCGAGTCAATATCTGCAAAAGGACAGGTTATTCCACCGTTTATCATCATGCCCGGTGTACAGATTCCGTCCCGGTGGGTTGACAACGGCCTCGAAGGAGAGGCAACGATCGCCACAACACCAAAAGGCTATATTGACGATGTCACCGCGCAGGATTACTTCGACCACTTTGAACGACATACACGTCCTCAAAATGGACGGGGAAAAAGAGTCCTATTACTAGACGGTTGCGAGAATCACTTTACAAAAGAACTACACCATAAAGCCCAAGTCGCAGGCGTGGTGTTGTATCCCTTCCCGCCTCATCTGACGCATATACTTCAGCCGTTAGATGTAGGGATGTTCAGCTCGTATAAGCACTGGCATCAAGAGGTCTTACAACGGGAAATCACCGATGGGGCTACGGACTTCAATAAAGCTGACTTCCTGTTTCATTTACAGGAGATTCGCCGCAAAGCTACTAAGAGAAGTACTATTATCTCATCGTGGAAGAAGACCGGCATCTATCCTTTCAATCCCTCGGCCGTATTAGACCGTATGGTCGATCCGTTATCATCACTATCTTTGGAGGCGGCTGAGGCCGATCTTCCCGGCTATATCTCTGCAGGTGACTCTTCGGCACACCCCAGTGACGAAGACTCCGAATCCGACGAGGAAGACTTCGGCCAATTCTCTCGAGACCTACATCATTCGAACCGCGTGAACGAGGAGAATCGATTGGTGTCATCCACGCCTCCATTGGTCAACTGGAACGAAGTCATCACCCCCGAGCTGAAGATGCGGCAAATCCGACAGTATGAGCAGTACGTGGCCCTCCGAATCGAGGTATCAGTGGCCTCGGGCACGCCTCTGACTCCCACCGTGGCACACGTCAATGAAAAGCTACGGAAAGCACACACAACTCTCGCATTAAACGGCATTACAGCGACTCAGGAGATGCGCCGCCTCAAGGAGAAGAGCCTCAAGCGTTCGAATCGTGACCAAGGGACTACAATCTTGGCTAATTACGGGCCAATTACAGTATACGATGCCAGACTTCGCGTCGCCAAGGACTTACACAACCGACGGGCAAATCAGGCTGCAGAGGCACAACGGATGCATAAGAAGGAGGTCAGGGACGAAGTTGCTTGTCTACGAAGGTGGATGACGGAAGTCAGGAGACTTCTCAGGGCCAGTCTTCAGCAGTTACGGGTCAATGACTTATACAGTAGTCAACCTACATACTCACAAGGAGTGAGGCCATTTACAGCTGGCCAATTTCATATAAAAACTCAACACCAAGACTGTATCTCGTCGGCCGGGCTATTGGGGACGAAATACTGCCTCTATCGCGAACTACACGCGAAGATGAGGGAGTCGAAAGTCAGGAGGAAGGAAGCAAAGGAAGCAGGGGAAACAGAAGTCCCCAGACTGTTCAATTTCTATTGGAATCCTCCATTCCTTCTTCCTTATGACTACGACGTTAAAATCGTTAACGAAGCATTAGAATTTGTTGTCGCTGACGATGAAAAACGGCGTGCCTCACGGAAAAAACTGTCACTTGAAGTTGACGGCGTGGAAATCGATGAGGACTTGGAAGAAAGTGATTCTGATACTGCAGAATCATTAGAAAATGATAAAATTACTATTAGGTAACGTATTACTGTTAGTTAGGGCGAATTCGTTGTGCCGAAGGATGAATAATATACTGTAATTGTGGTGATAATTCCTTGGTGTTTTAGTGTTGTTATGCATTTCGTGCAAATGGAGGGGCAGGTCCGGCCAAATCATGTGGGTGAAATAAGTGACTCCTGATTTTGCGGGCAATAGGTGGAGAAATAAAGTACCCCAATTTTCCATGTCAGCAGACCCTTTTCCGGGTCAGCGTACCCCCCGTGCCTGACCAAGGCACCATGCAATGGAAAGGGAAGGCTAAGGGGGACCGGTCTCTAGGCCCTACCCAAGTATGGTTAGAAAGCCTGCGATGAACCTCATGAGCTATTGCTGTTCGCTTATATCCTCGTGCTTAAATTCTGGCCGCGTTCAATGGATATGTTGAGACATGATTGATCTTGTTGAGACCGTATGACTAAATTGGTCCGATCTGCTGGTGGCTGGGTTGTGGATATTATGTAGTGAGCCGTGCTCCTCACAGACACATGTAACTTAGACCTTTCAACAACAGCACCTATTACTCCAGCAGTATTGTTTCATCAGATCTAGTCTCACTGATATATCAGGTGTTTGCAACAGTGGTCCCCGATGACATATCGTGCTGAGGCATATCGAGGTCAGATCAAATATCACGACGGCATCACGATGGAATCATGGCTTCATACCAAGAATGTGCCAAGTCCTTGAAGGGTTGGTAGTTGCCACCAAGCGTCTGAGCGTATCGTCAAAACAGTCGCCACAGTCTTGGAAACTGCCACCCTTTCAGCCAGCATTATGAGCGATTGGTATGTCACCTAGAATAACCAGTCACATGCAGGCAACCTAGCTGATGGCCAAAGTAGTCTGACCTTTCACAACATAGAGGTCGCCGTACGAAAGGCGGACGGCTTTAGTATCAGGTGGCTTGATCAGGCTGATAGCCAAGGAGTTTGCCAAGGACGACGTAAATGGTGCGGGAGACGCTGCTAATGTCGCAAAATAATAGCACCTGTTTCTCTGCAGCCCCGCAAGCTTGTGCTGCCTCCGAAAATGGGACTCGACTGCCTCGGCGCGGGGAGGTCTTGTAGCTCCACATACAGGGCAGAGAAGTGGCAACTTACCTTTGATAACTTGTGGATCTGCAGAGACATTTGTGGGGCGGAGTCAGCCTACCAAAGACCTATCGTCAAGCAACCAGCATCTCATACAGAGAATGACCATGGCCATGAACCAGTCCATGAGAGCTATCCCTCTAGTTGTGTTGAACCTCCCACCCACCAGGTTACGACAGGGGGTATAGCCAATTAAAATGCACCATATTGGAAATACCTACTCCTCCACTTAATTTAGCCTATGATAAAAGTATCAGCAATCTCTCGAGTTACAAATCGCTACATCACACTGCTCACATCCCCAAATTGACTGACGCCTTCTTTTGTTATTGCTCACCGGCGCCAAAGGCCTCCTTGTACTTTTTGATCTTGACTGCCCTGATTGAAGTCCTTTACAGGCAAGGCAATCCGACTTTTTCCCTCTTCGGATGTGTTTATGTTGTGCCACGGGCGTAAATTCGTCTCCGGCTCGAAATGCCTGCCTTGACCGGCTCTGTGGATGGAAGGCCTGAAAGACTGCGTTGTAGATGCATTCCCTCCACTTCCTCTGACTCGTGTAACGGCTCCAAGCTGGCTCTCCGTGTAGCTGCAGGAGGAAGTTATTTACAAGGACCAGACATCCCAATAATGAATAAATACATAATATTGCCATATTCTTATGTATTCATAGTCATACCCTGACATTCTTATCTATTCTTAAGCTTATGGATTATTCGTAATATAAGCTTGAGGGCCCACTTATATCGTCGTCGTCGCTGGGACTTCCATGACCCCGTTATCTACTGCCACATAGACTTTGCAGATCAAGCCTTTCTTCACCCAATATCTCAGGCGTTGAATTTCCTCGACAGTATCAGCCGAGAGCCGTGTCCTGTCTCATGAAATTGTCCGTCGTGCGCAAGAGAATACCCGTTCCGGGTCGTCTGACATCGCTAGTACACTGAGTACGTCAATGGCCAACGGATGTAAACGTGGATACTCAATCCTCTGTTCTTCTCGGCACCACCATTCAAGAGGCGTGCTTGTCGTCATAGGTCTTGGCGGAGAATTGATGAATTTTTCGAATTCATCC